AGAATTCGAACTTGACATCATTCACTTTAAATACCAACGTGTTATTCACCTAGCTAATGAATTCAGATATCGATTGGCCTATACAATGGAATGAATTTTTAAAACATTCATATTGGTAATTTAATGTTTTTAATTAGAACCAATATAAATGAACTATTATCGTAGATTTCCCTGGACTTTTTTTCAGTTCTTTAAATACGTGTGTTACGGGTATGAGGGCTGGTGTCACTCCCCGGCTGCCCACACCGTGGAAGGGTATTTCTTGAGGAACCTGAAAAGGAAATTGAATTAGTGTTGGCCTGAACGACCTGGGAGCGTGACCGCAGAGCCCAAGCGACAACTGCTTGAGGCCGGTCGCGCACGGCCTTTCTGCGAAACGTTTTTAATGTGTTAGCTCCGTTCTTCAAAGGGCCTTACCGCCTGAGACGGAAATCCGTGAGGTAAGGTGAGGTGTGACATTTTTAGGGTCAACCTTTTCTAACCCCAACCCTCCTTGTGGGAAGACGGTATCGCTGCAGATGCTGGTTGTCCGATGGAAACACCTTATTGCTGTCACACCCCTCTACAGTCAGTAGTACGACTTCGCCCTCAGACCTTGGGTTTGTTGCTTCCAGTCTTACCGTTCTCCAATCGACCTACCTGGCATGGTAGAACCTACAGGAACATATGTTCCAGCCAATATAGTTCGGTTGGGTCATCACGATAGGCAAGCCCGACCACCGCGTCAAGGTAGCAGCTACGGTCACAAACCTATAAAAGTAGGTGTTGAAATAGAAACTATCTTAAAATTATAAAATAGATTATAGACCAAAAAAAATGATGAGTTAATGATCAATACAAAAATGAATATCTTTATTTCGTTTATCATCTTACATTAACCAATTTTTGTAATGTTAAAAAGTAAAAATAAATGAATATTTGATCTGGTAGTACACAAGTTATTCAAAATGATACATAAGGAGTTTTTCGACAAACATTTTTCTTCACTAACTTCGGCATTAAGTTGTAATAATCATAAATCAATCAATAATGTACTACAATAAACAGTATAAGTCACATACTCAAATGTTTTGATTGAGTTACACTTATTCATAGAATACAGTGCATTTTCTGATGGTTGACTAGATTATGAAGTACTAATAGTGTGTATACTGTCATTAAAAATTGTAGTATTTTTGTATTGTATTTTAAGAAAATATCATATCACATGGAATTATTTTTTGTATAATATTCAAGACAATATTCGTATCAGTTTTACCTTCAAAAAAGTTTTCATATTTACAAAGATAAAATAAAACTCCATGTTCTTAAAAGAAATCTCAAAGCATTATTTTTTTGGAAGATAGAGATAAGTTGTTTTATTTGGAAGCATATGGTATGGTATTATTAGCCATTAGGGGTTCGTATTTTTGTTTGCTTGGATGGTTAAGAAGAAATATGCCTAGTTTTTTATAACATGAGCTCCTTTAATTAGATTCATGGATGATGCATCCATGCACAGATTTTGTTTTGGATAGTGGTGAGAAATTAGGCTTGAAAATGCTTGTTTCGTCCTATGTAGTACAGTTGTATATATTTTCATTTGCAGTTATCAACTAAGCCTCTGAGTCCAGATTGTCATCAACTTCTTCAGTGGGCATGATATTTAACATCAATTGTAATGTTTCATTGAAATCATGAACCGATCAAAGTTTGACAGCCACCGAAAAACTAGGAAGCACAGTACGTTCATTCCGTCCTAAAAAAGAACGGCTCGGTAGTGTACAGCAACGGTCTCGTACGCAGGAGTCACACCTAGGACCTTCGGTCTCTTGTGTGAACGCTTAAACTCTAGACTACTGAGCTAGTGCCTAACGGTGTTAATGTCTACCTTTCACCAATCCACGACACTGCGCAACCATCTTCCATTGTTTTCAGTGGGTAACTGCCCAGCATCTGACACAGTTACAATCCGCTGGTCACTGCTTCTCACTACAATTCCGGAAATTTTCTCTTGAATCTAAATGCTGGCTCAATGCTTTTGGGGTCTGTTATGCCCCGATAAGAATAATGAGTGGTAGTTTTTGGGATCCATTCGTGGACCAATACTATACGTATATTTTACCGTATAATTGTTAATTAACTAAACCATTCTTATCGACTAAATGTTTAAAAATTTCAATGGCAGTCGATTGACTAACTTATCGATTCAATGTTTAAAAAAACTTCAATGGTAATATCGATTATATACATATAATTGATATATATACGTTTTGAATTGTGTTTGTGGGATCGCTCGTTTCTGGCTGTTTGCAGAATATACTTTCCCATTACAAGCTTGGACTTCGCCCTCTAGTTAGCGGGGCTGGGATGCATCAAATATCTAGCTTACTGGTCTTTGGTCACTGAGTCTTTGTTCTCATTCCCAGATTAAATGAACTCGTGATAGCTTCAAACCTAGCAGGGTCGGGAGTTCGCGCGCTGGGCCAAGGGTCCAGAAGTCAACCCCCACATATGGAGTCACGTCCCCACATTGGTGAAGTCCTATGCTAGGATGAAATAGATGACTAGTTCTTTCAGTTTGAAATGGTTGCCCAGCTTAGATCGGTTAGTGATTCTAAAGGTAAAAAATAACCACAACCCTTTAATGTTTACCATGTTTCATATCTTCCATTTGTTAATAATAAAATCAAATGTGATTGATTTCTTTTGGTATGTAGAATGAGATCAGTCAGGAATATCAAAATCAAAGTCGTACAGATCATTACAATTAATAATAAACTTCGTACCCGTAGCGTTCAACGTTTTTTATACCAAACGAATGTGCTTTTCTTATTGACTGTAGGTACTGTTAGGACTAACTGCAGTGAATAAGCGTCTATATGTTCTGAACTTCATTGTTATTCTTTGTCATTCATTTGTTAACTGATGAGAAAACTCAGTCACACTTTTTTTCATTATAACTATGTTGGTTGGCAGAAAGTTTACTCATCAATGCCATTGGAACATGGCTGAAAGATTGAATTTAGAGAAGCCACCGGACTCACTAATCTAACACTTAGGCGCTTACTACGAGGCCTGAAGATCATTGGTTCGACCGCCAATGGGGTCATAGATGCACATCTCTTGAGAGTTCCATAATAGAATGGAGTAATTTTCAATTGCTTAATGGTTTTCAACGATTGTTTGACGGAGTTTAGTTCCTAATGTAGGAACTTACACGAAGTACCTAAAAATGACACCAGTCCATAGAGTTACTGACGATGGAACTGAGGTATATTAACAGGTTTAGACTACATGTTTGGGGTTCTTTTGATTATGGAAACTAGCGGCTAGACATTGAATGACATGGCCCAAAATCTTTCGCAAAGGCACAGACGTGTTGACTGAATATTTTCTTTCTTCTAAACTGCTGATTTCCTAATAATTTTATTTCTTTTATTCCAATAATTTACATTCTCTTGAATCGAATTTTCCGATACCTAATCTTCCCTGTTACCACTAATTCTGTTACTACCTCTACTAATCTGGAATTTGCCTTGACAGTTTGACCTCTCAGTACTTATGGGGTATGGGAACGTGAACGGATGAAGAAAAATACAAAATTCAACAACACGTATAGACTCAATTCGATAATGAGTATTTTATGTATGCGTAATACCTCCAGTATTTTAGTTAACATTCACATAATTAATCAGTTCGTGACGCTGTTTTTTTCTTTACTCCAGTGAATTTAGGTCTCGAGGATCAACTGCATCGGCAAACTAACAATTTACGGATTTTAACTCGTACCATTAATTTATCAAGCAAGTCATCATAACGGCTACCATTTATGCTGTATTTAATACAAAGGTTTATTTATCTTGCTGTAGGACGATTCACCTGGAGAGTCCGAAGTGAGTCTTTAAATGGCTTACTTACACCTATTACCCCTCGCGGTGATGCATAGGCTAGGTAATCCTATACAGTTGTTTCCAGTTGCTATTCATCCTTTTCATATCTGTGCTTCCAAATCTCGACTTAGCGTGCTCTTTGGTCTTATTCTTTTCCGTTCCCCATAGGATTCCAAGTTGATGCTTTCTTCGTGTAGCTTGATCTCCGTAATGTATGTCCAATCCACTTACAATGTCTTTTCCTAATTTCCTCTCAAGCTGGAAGCTGGTTTGTCCTATCCCACAATAAACTGTTACTCATGGTATCCAGTCAACTAACATTGAGTATTTTACGTAGACAATTGTTTATAAATGCTTGTACGTTTTTGATGATGGTTGTAGTTGTTCAAGTTTCAGTCGCGAGTGGTATAATTATCTTGACGTTCGTATTGAAGATTTTGACTTCGATGTTGGCTCACAAACAGTTGTTTTGAGTTCCATATGTTCTCTGACTGTATGAATACTACCCTCACTTTATCAATCAATACCATTACATCCGCATCAGATCCTTCTTGTTCATCGATTATACTGACCAGGTATGTGGAAGTTCTCACCTGTTCCAGGGCTTCTCCATCAAATGTGATTGGCTTAATGTTCTCTGTGTTGTATTTGAGGATCTTGCTCTTCCCTTGTGTATGTCGTGGCCTACTGACACAGAGGCTTCTGCTACACTAGTTGTCTTCATCTGCATTTGTTGGTGTGTATGGGACAGAAGAGCCAGGTCATCTGCGAAGTCTAAATTATCTAGTTGATTACGGACTGTCCATTGTATTCCCTTTTTCCCCTCAGACATCGACATCTTCATAACCCAATTGACCACCAGAATAAAGAAGGGTAGGAGTAAGCAACCTTGTCTGACTCTGGTCCTCATTTGGAATGCATCTGCACTTTAGTCCGTAGTATGAACTTCGGATGATGTTGACGATTTTCTTAAACATGGCTCGCGTAAACATTAATATTCATCCAGTAAATTCTAGTTCTTAAAACGATCACTACAATGCTTTATGCAATACACAACTTTCTTTATCGCACCTTACTGAGAATTTTAATGCGCCAGTCATACCAAACAATCGATAAGTGGATGTTATTGTCAGATTGGCAGCAATAGCCTGACCTAAAACCTTTCTGTATGTTTGTTATGACTCGTAGAGGGACAGGATAATAGGACTATAAAATTCATAGACAAGCAGATACTCCCTATAGATCAATTAAATCTTTTTTGGAGTACGAACAGAACTTTAGTAGTAGCATTTCTAGGAGTCTCTTATCTTCAGTGAGGTATAAACGAATCTACCAACCTCTTCTAAACATACGAAGAGATTACATATCCTCTTAATACTGTGATTATTGTACATACTTGAGATCCTGTTTAAATAAACTACTATCACCTTGAATATCTAGCAACTGTAATGATGATTATAACAGAGATAAATGCCTTGAGCTTTTCTTAAGATCAACAACCAGAAAAACAGGATAACCACTTCATTTATAAGCTAATTCAAACTCGTTAAATCGTAAAGCTCTCATTAGCTAATTTACGAAGACCTAAACAACTTAAATAAAGATGTGGGAATAAAAAGCATTTGTAAAGAATGAGAATCAATTAATTGGCTGTAGTAATATAAATGACCTTTATCCTGGAAGGTTATCACTCCATTGATTTACAGAATCAGTTTGCGCCAATGTTATCTAAAAAGCAATTTAAAAAGTTTTATTATATTCACTTGACTCTGATAGTCCTAAACTTCCACATTACATCACTCGGATTCATCTTTTTAATGAGCAAAAATCTGGTCTAAAAATATCGTGGTGCCTAATCGTTAACCAATGACTGTGAAAATAGCTCCCAATTTGTTGGCAAATTTTCGATGACTAATAAGCATCTTATTTTATTTCTTGACATCCCCTCTCAGGTTGTATTATAGAAAATGAAGATTTATGAGCTACAGAAATCTATCGACTCTATGAAACTTCTAAGGTCGACTGTGTTGAAATTTGGCCAACATTTAGACCTTTTTTAAGATTACAAATGGATTTGATTTAGTTGACTAAACTCAATCATCGATTATTCATTTTGACTGCAAAGTAGTTTTTCAAAGATAAGTAATTTTCATTTAGCTTGTTGGAAGTCAATACATACATTATTTTGGCTTTAAAGCCATTACAAGATATACAAAGTTTACAAAATATGTCTTATGGAAGATTTATCGGAATAATTTCACAATCTGTTGACATATAGAGGGGAACACTAGAGTATAGGGCAAAGTCGTTGCTGAATATCGTCGGTTGCTGTTATTGGATTTTGAATTACAAATGATTGTAGCTAATGGGATCTGAGGGGGATACCGTATTCATGTGCATTCAAAATTAGCTCGCACTAATTTTATTGCGCCTCCTGATGGTAATCACTTGAAAAGTGACCTTCGATACAGTTCAGCTGAATATTTAATCACCAGGTTAGATAAACTGTAGTTTAAATTGATCGAAAAAGTACAAATTACAAAACTTTCGATTTTCTTTCGAAATTTATCTATTTCGGATGTTGAAGTGAATACTTGCCTTGTGATGTCAAATTCATTGACAAGCAATATTACTAAATTTTAATCCTTCACTATTTATATGCTTGACTTACAAACCATCAGATTTACTAATTTTGATATATTTGCTTGTGACTATGCATAATAAAACCTTAAGAATAACTACATAAAACTGAGATTCACTACTAAAATTACTAACAGAAACATTTGATTATAGAATCGATTCTCATTAATTTAGTCAATTAGCTAAAAACCTCTTTGCCAGTCTTGAATTCAAAGGAGAGGTTTCAGGTGGAATTGATAAAAGGATTAAAACAGCTAAAAATAAGCTTTCCTACAGTTCATCTATTTTCAGATGTTTCTTACTATTCAATACTGTTGAAGTTACCTTCAAATATAATCATTAATTTACGTGTACTCGGGTAAACAAGTACATAAGAGTGAAGTTTTCAGAACAAATTCCCTGAAAGTTGATTTTGGAGGTAAAGCATATTCTAGTGCTAAGATTAGACATTCAATAGATATTAAAAAGGTGGATATCACAAAGACATTTAAAATAATTTACAAGTAGTAAACACTGATCTTTGTTGATTAAAGAAGTAACCATCAAAATAAATGTGATCAAACACCATTACTTCCTCATGTGTTTAAGAAAGAACCTTATCAGGAGTTTTGTGGAGATTTTAGTAATTTAACAGTTAAATCCACAAGTCGATTGAAGCTAGACGACCATGGAAAACCTGGAAGCACTAGACTGCGGTTTCGTCCTAGCATGGAACTCCTCGGCAATGTGCATTCACGATCCCGCGCGAATGCTTAAACTCTAGATCACTGAGCCGGCATCCAATGGTGTTAACGTCGAAGTGACAGGTCTCGCGGGATCGTGGATGAGCACTGCCGAGTCCCAAACTATGACGAAAATGCCGTCCAGTGCATTCAGGTTTTCCATGGTGGTCCAGCTTCAATTGACTCATAAATCGAACTACAAGAATGAATCGTTGAATGTAGTAAGATTACTAAATATGTTCTGGGTTTCACTTATCTAAAATTGCAAATGGATACACTTAAACAATTCCTTCATATTTTACGTTAAGTACCAACATCCAATCAACTACGAACTTATTCATAGCATTTAGGTGAATATTTATATATACATTTAAAAGTTGTCTGTCGATTATCAGTAACATGAGCAGTTTGTGCATTTAGCTTTTCATGAAAAACCACACATAGCTAGACAGTAAAAACAAATTACGAGACAAGAACGAGCAAAATGGACAAGGATATGTTATGTCGAAATGACTACTTTTCCTTGTTTTTTTAGCAATAAGGTTCTGAATGACGTATTATCTTGCCTCTTATTTAAGTACGGTTATGTATCGGAAATTTCCGAAAATAATACTTAGATATAGTTCAAAGTTAGTCTGCTTTTTTGTTGACGACGTTAAGTTCAAAAACCAGTGAGATAAATGTACTGATATTTGGAAATTAATTAGTATCAGGCTATATATTACTCCTATCCACACAAATTAAACCTCAAGACTTTCACGCTAGATAACCTCTGTGGCAAGCCCATTTGGCTACTGTATCATTTATCTAGTCATTGTAACTCAAACTCAATTCACTATGTTAATTTCGGTGTGTATGATCGAAAGTATGTCTGTACATTAACGCTTAAGCTATCTTCCTATTGGTCTCAATGTTCAGATAATCGATAATCTATCCACACCCGATTAACTCTCAAATATATATGGATTTTTAACAGACTCATACACTCTCTCTGTTTCATCGTGTGCTTGCTCACCGTACGTTTGTGGATTATTATTATTCATTACCAATAAACTATCTCTATAACTGGTGTTCAGGCAAAATGTTACGGATGATGTCCTCAATATCTGACTCCAAATAATAATATCCTGTAACTGAGTGTTTTAGGTAGGCTTAATCTCCTAGTAGAATTGCGAATTTACTCGAGATTATTAAAAAGCCTGAACACCAGTTATAGAGATAGTTTATTGATAATGAATAATAATAATCCACAAACGTACGGTGAGCAAGCACACGATGAAACAGAGTGTATGAGTTGTTAAAAATCCATATATATTTGAGAGTTAATCGGGTGTGGATAGATTATCGATTATCTGAACATTGAGACCAATAGGAAGATAGCTTAAGCGTTAATGTACAGACATACTTTCGATCATACACACCGAAATTAACATAGTGAATTGAGTTTGAGTTACAATGACTAGATAAATGATACAGTAGCCAAATGGGCTTGCCACACTCTTACACTGCTGCCTTCTCGAAAATTGTCATGGGTGAGTTGTCACCAGTGGTGTTAGACCGGAATAAACTGTTTAGTTAGTTTTAAAAGTCCATCTTTATCTTTTTACTCAGCACAATAGATCAGGTAGGAATTGAGCGTATTGTTGAAATTAGGTGGAGAAAATATTGAAATTTAAATAATATTCTATTTAGTGTAATCTGAAGGTGATTTTACATTCCCAAAAGTTCTACTTTACCCAACAAATGCTGCGAAGTAATGAATATAAATAAAACTTAATCATACAGGTATTGTCGTTACCTATAATATTGTTTGTGCCACGTTATAGCAACATAACCATCTCTTACACAGCCAGCCACACTTATAACTTGTTCAGACGCAAAATTTGATATCCAATTATAAAATAACGAATCAATGATTGAATCTCATCTGATACTGTTCAGGCGCATAAGGTTTACCAATAATAATGATTTCCCGGTATATGTTTGTGTTTCATTTACGAGTTTTCACCAAGCACAGAAATGTTTACTGGATTCAATGCACTCCCCCACTAAACAGTGCAAATTAACACTCAGCACAATTATAACACATTCCAGTCAGTGTGGCATGAAACAGTATTTAGTGTCAAACATTAAGACAGGACATTATATTTGATAAGCGAACAAGATATAGGCGATTAACTCACACCTAGAATACTGAACATTTTTACTCATGCAACTCGATCCACTGAAAAAAACTAGGTAGTTTTTAATTAAGAATTGGCAATTTATTTAACTATATATGAATATTACTTTCAGTAGGAATAGAATCCTTATCAAAATGTTCATTATAAAATTTTAGTATATTGGGATGTGTAAATCCCAATCGTTCAAGTGATGGTAGGAAACCTAAGTTGTCGTAAGTTGCAATTCTCATAAATGAGTTTATTACCTGCCCCTGAGAAACGAATATTTGAAAAACGGCAACATAAATGTAGAAATTCGCTCACAGTCTACCTGACCTACTGGGCCAATTGACAAGAGACTAAATTTGTACCAAAACCTATGAATCTGAAGTAGCACACTACACAAGCTGACAAATTTAATAACAAGGTAATCCGTATAGAAAACAAGAAGTACTTTTCCATAAGTTATATTGCTCAACTACCATGTTTCTGTTGGATCGGCATCTAAATTACTCCAACCACCTGCTGTCCCACCAACAGGACCGTATCCAGCAGCGGCTATTCCCATATCGCCTAATGATCCGACAGGCATTGTTGGCTCAACTCCCCACGTTTCTGCAGCTTCGATATCGGCCCCTAAAATTGTGAAGATAATAACAGACAGTGAGCGCAACATAATCAAACAAATGGCGGGAGGTTTTGGCTTTAAAATACATTTCACAAGATATCTCTTTCCAACTTGGACTGGAGTAATGAGATTAAAAAGCCCACATAGGTTAACGTGGTCGAGCTTGCCTATCGTGATGATTCGACCGAGATATGTCGGCTGTAACACATGTTCCTTTGAGAAAAGATTAAAGGCAGCAACTTATTATCTGAGACTGATGTTATACTAATGATTGTACATGCGTGAAAGCAGCGGTGTTTGCCTAGGATAACTAGCATCTGCAATAATGCTCCCTTCTCACATCGGAAGAGATTATAGAAGCTTGACCCTTAAAGTGTAACATTTCAGCTTAACCCGACAGGTTTCATTCTCCGTAAGTAAGGACTTTTGAAGTGCGGAGCTAACGCCTTAAAAAAACGTTCCATGAAAAGGTTGTGCGTGACCGGCTTCAAGCAGTTGTCCTTTGGGCTTTGCAGTCACATCCCCAGATCAATAACACCATCACTAATTCAGCTTCGTTTTTAAGTCATTCAGGAAGAAATATCCCTCAACGGTGTGGGCAGCTAGGAAGTAACAACTGCTCGCATACCTCCAACTGACTTATACAATGAGACTTGGACAAACAGTTTAGTGTCGCATGCGTATGATGAAAACTTGTAACACTATGCATTACTACAATAAGAACAAAAATATGAAACATGAGTACTAAAGATTATGCCATTTCTCGTTCTCTTACTATGCCAGACGAAGTACACACACTCAAGTGGTCAACTCGGATTAGAGGTGCATCTATCAGTGACGAGAAAAGCTAATAAACCCTGGAAGATCATAATCTGCCTATAGATAATCTTTTTACTCGTGTAGCTTTAAACAGTTCCGCATACTAGAACGTTGTCTAAGATGAGCGATATCGGAATAAATAAATTTCTGAAGAGAATTTTTATTTGAACACAAAGCTAAGAGTGTGATTTAACTTTAAGTTGTCCGGTTGAAAAGTACCTAATGGGACTACGTAGGATAATAATTTAAGGTTGCTGTTATTTGATTGGATTTCTTTCTAGCTTCCTGTTACTGGCCTAGTTCTATCCCGACAACATTATAGCATGGTGAGCGATACCTAGAGATACTGCTGAGCTTCAGGAAGACATTTGGGAATCAGCATAAAAGTCTGGCATTTGTTAATCGCAAGAGCATTGTGATGCTTTTGCTCATTAAATGAAGTGTTAGGCTATCAATTGTGATTTAGTGTTCATTACCAAGAAAGACACATTGCCATTCAGTAGCTGTCAAAACTATTAAGAACTTTTGGTTAGCATCTTGTACTTTCATCCACTTACGTGCTTCAAACAACTGAGTGTTTCACTGAAACTCAAACGTTGCAAACAATCAAACAGCCCGGAGCCATAAAGATCACGTATGACGACACTAACGAGATCAGAATTAAAATTGAGTCGGTGTACTATTCATTTTATTTTAACACATAGATATTAGTACGAGGCACCAAATACATATGCGCCACACAAATCTCATTTGATATATGTGAGGGCTGTGATACTGACCGGGTGCCCGAACCGAAGCAGGTGGTTTTCTTAGGGGGCCACACCCGGAGCCTTTGACCTGAAGGTCTGATCCATAAGGCGGTGGAGCAACGTCAGGTGATGCAGTACCATGGTGGCCGGTGACCAACGACCGGTTCATACGCCATTTGTTCCTTTAGGATACTGGAACCCATGTGCACCATTGGTTTGAAATCAGGGTTCTTCAACTCCCCTAGGTGGACTCTTCATGTCCACCAACCCGATTACAGCACCGGACATTCGCTTTCCGTCCTCTCAATTTCGTAATCAGCACCACCACGAGAAGGAAGTGAGCAGGACTTCCCTGGCAGAGGCTATATACGCGTAACCATGTGAAAGCATTTCGAGAGGGATAGCGGACTCTCCCCACTCTCGGCCGTACCAGGGCATTTAAGGGTCATCAATTTCGACACAAAACAGGGCTACAGTTTTCCTGACTCGTGAATCCAAAACTTAATCATATTCCACAGATAAATATTAGTTAAGTCGTCTTAAAAAGTGCTGTATGTCTACAGTGGCTGGCCAATTATCTAAATATATAATACCGACCGGTATGTTATGATGTCGACAACAATTTATGAATCTCAGAGTGTTAGTTGTTTGGTTGCTTGAGAACCAGTTGCTTTCGATTCACTCAAGCCTGAAGATCTGAATCTAAACAAATGGAAATGATGTTTTAGTCCACAGAGTTTTACACTTACTACATCATATGACCTACCACTACTTATTATACAATATAAAAGCACATATCCTGAAAAACATAATTAACCTGGCAAAGCGGGTTCCAATCTAGTATCATCAACTTCCTCAGCATTTTGCTCTTCCTCGTTGGGATCGCGATAGAGAAACAGGTCAGGTAATACACTCCATTGATGCAACCTTGTATCTTCACCGCGGATGCGCCGAACTTCACGAGCGAGAAGCCACCACACAACGGCAATAGAATGCGTTGACTAAAGGCAATTACGTGAAAACTAGATTACCTTGTTATTACATGGAATGACGATATCAACACGTGAAATAGGGGTGTCAGTATTGCAGAATGCAATGAGTGGGACATTTACAGAATTAGCTTCATATACAGCTTGGTGATCGCTTATTGGATCACTGACAATTAACAGGCGGGGCTCTCGGAAACAAGACTAAAGAATATTATGAAGGCACGGAACATACTTGTTTCTGGTTGGTGAAAGTACCAGGTGTGAAGCGGCCTGCCATTGCTGTTGTTCCTGTGTAGTTCGCAAATTTTAATACAGCACGCTGAGTAAACGGCCTGGACCCGACTGCGTAAACATCAGTCGGATGATCAATTGCTGCAATAGCACGAGCTGATAGAAGGATTTTCTCCCATGTTTTATCCAACTTAATAATGTGATAATTATCTTTAGTACACCCATGGACGTATGTTGACATTTGGAAATTCATATTAGTCTCCCCCACATGAACGTGAGCTGCAAGCATTAGGCGCAGGTCCTCTGCCGAGAGTTCTAAAACTGGATAACCACCAGACATGCTTGACAACAACCAGACCGAATCACGAGCAGAATTGAAAAGGCGCTACTGCAAATGAATAGCCATCTGATGAAAACAAAGGAAGTTTCGTGTAGCAAGTGAACTTTATAAGAAGAAAATAGCTTAAGCTACATGTTTATCTTTTGTTGGTAGAACTTTTCATATTTGGTTTTTCATTAAAGTCCCCATCTTTTAGATGGACATAGCAAATGAAATATATCTCCGAAACACCTGAAGCTTAGACTGAGCTAATGTTCGGGCTAGGCTTCATAGCAGAGGGATTATAAAGTGGGGTAATCTCAGCTACAGCAACACAGCTCATAATGGACGTAAATATTTCTTTCTATATTAGAACCGATTGGGTAAACGTAACGTGTTTACACTCGGAACCGACTTCACTGGAGACATATGGTTCAAATGATTCAAATGGTTGTGGACGGAATAGAAGAAGCTTTCGCTTAACAGGCCTCCGTTCCTAGTAGCAGGGGACCACCAAATCCTCCAGGCAGGAACCTAGATATGTTAACAATAAAAGAGGAAAAGAAATTAGTAAATCATAGTGTAATACTATCCTTAGTCCTTAAGAATAGATCAAGTTGCCTCTTAAAGGACTCCTGGGAAGTCGCTTGGACTGGCTTGGACGGCAGCGAATTCCAGCATTCGACAACTCTTAAGGAGTAGAAGTTGTGTCTACAGTCCGTTCTGCTAAGTTGTGTCTCCAGTTTTTGGGTGTTACCTCTAAGGTTAGTGTTGGAACTAAGCTTAAGTAGGTGTTTGAGAGGATGTCCAGAAGTGTTAAGGATACTGTAAGCCATCAGAAGGTCACCTCGAAGACGTCTATACTTTAATGGGTAAAGGTTAAGTGAATGGAGGCGCTCTTCATAAGGTTTGAATTTGAGTCCTGGAACTGATTTCATGGCTCGCCGTTGGATACGCTCCAGGGTGTCCTTATCCTTTTGGAGTGAGGGGGGAAATACTATGTTTCCGTACTCCAAATGGGGACGGATAAAGCTATTGAAGATTATATGGAAAGTTGTTCCGTCAAACTGTCCAAACATGCGCTTCAACGTTACCAGTGCAAGGTTTGCTCGGAAGGCATTTTTGTCACAGTTAGCGTAAGACTTTAAATCATGGGACACCAGGAGTCCTAAATCTTTTTCGACCTCGGATACTACTAGAGAGGAGTTTCCTAAGTTATAACTGTAGTCTGCGACATGTCGCAGATGGACTACTTTACACTTTGAAGTGTTAAAGGTAAGTCCGCTATCGTCTGCCCAACTTTGAAGTAGAGTCAGATCCTCCTGAAGTGCCTGTATATCGTCTTGGTTGTGTATCTCTCTCCAAAGTTTCACGTCGTCGGCAAAAAGTAATAAGTCTGACGTTACTTGTTGAGGAAGATCATTTGTGTAGATCAAGAAGAGAAGAGGTCCTAGTACTGAGCCCTGGGGGATCCTACTAGGACATTCCATAGCCTGAGGTAAAGTGAAATTAACCCTGACCTTAAAATGTCGATTTTTCAGGTATGAAGTGAGCCAATCGATTAGAGGTGGCCTGATACCCAATCGTTTGAGCTTATTGATAAGACATGTATGGTTAACCTTATCAAAAGCTTTTGAGAAATCTAGGTAGATTATGTCAATCCTTCCCTTGCGATGCTTGTCCATCTGTCCACCTCAGTCAGCAGGTTGATTATACAAGAGTAACCCTCCTGAAACCATACTGTTGGGGTGAGAAGAAATTTAAGGACAGTAAATAGTCATGTATACCATCGCACATCAGGGAATCCATGATTTTTGAAGTTACCGAGAGAAGAGCCACCGGTCGGTAACTTGAAAGTTTTCTGCGTCGACCTCCTTTGAAAATTGGTGTGATGTGAGCCAACTTCCAATTTCCCGGTAGTTTTCCTCGACTTAGCGAGTGCGAGAACATCATGCTAAGCGGCGTTGCCAGGATTGAGGCTGCTTCCCTCATTATGGCGGAGTGGACCATGTCCGGGCCAGGAGAAGTGTTTAGTCTTAAGTGCTGCAGTTTCCGGAACACCAAGTCAGCGCTTAGGTTCACTTCGGAAAGTCCTGTGGAATTGCATATGAAACTGTCATCAGTAAAGTTGATGTCGGTCGATTGAAATGTCTGGGAGTGATGTTCAGCCAGAAGGTTAGCGGCATCGCTATCGTTGTTGGTCGGGCCGTTATGACCTAGCAGTTGGGAAACTCGAGTTTTGGCTTGACGAAGATAGGCTGCATAACGGAATAAGCTTTTAGGATTAGAGGCAAATTTGCCCATAAACTTTGTCTGGTACTGAAGCCTGTCATCTCTTATAGCCTTCGTGCATATGTTTCTTACATGTTTATATTGCCTGTACGCTCCGTCGTTGTCAGTTCGTTTGTATTCCGCCCAACAGTGCCTTTCGCGGCTTAGCAGGTGAAGGGTACGGTTCTTGATTATTGTAGGTAGCTTGCAGCTTTTGCGAACCGTTTGAGGAACTGAATGGTTTGTAGCATATAAGAGCGTGTGCAGTAAGAAGTCCCAATGACCGTCCACATCGAGTTGAGGGTGAACATCCCAAACCACCTGTTGTAGATAGTCGTGTGGAGCTGACACATTCAACCTTTTAAAATTTCAACGCAAGTTATTGGTGGGATAGCTTAGCTTAGTTTTGCTGACAAAACTGAAGGCTATGACGGCATGATCGCTTTTTCCTAGAGGAGCCAGGATTGAGAGGTTGTCAACTAGGGATTCTTCATTTGTGAATACACAGTCTAAGCGCGATGATGTTTGACTGTTTCTCCGACGAGTTGCCGACCTCACATCTTCGTTTAATCCCAAGTCATCGATGAGGTTGAAGAACCGACCTTCAATTGAGTTGTCGCCTCCACTGTACGTATGTTCCGCGAAGTTGAATCTAGGGAGATTAAAGTCCCCTAGAATCAGGATGTGTGAAACCGAGACGAGTAGAGCAGGATAGTCCTTCAAGCATATGACTATAGTACTCGATGTCGGCAGTTGGCTTCCTGTAAATGACTCCGACTAGACACCTCGAAGGATTAGACAATCTTACAGAGCACCATATGGATTCCTCAAGATTTTTAAACTCGAGGTTATGAACTTGGTGCACCTCCAAGCAAGAACGTATGTAAACGGCAACTCCACCCCCAATTCCTGATTTTCTGTCGTTGCGGAACAAAGACATCCCAGGTAATGCTAACTCATGGTCCGAGAACTGAGAAGATATCCAGGTTTCAGATATTCCTGTGAGATGGGCGTTGCTAAGTTCACGTAATTCATCCAGTTTGTTTGGTAGACTCGCGACGTTCATATATAAGCAGTTTATGCTTTCAATTTGGAACGCGTGAGCTTCGTCCTGTTTGTCTGTATGAGCCTTACGTGAATGGACAGGTAGCCCACCTATATGAGGTTTGCCGACAAGGTAGATCCTGTCCTTTACACGTTTTTTTATCCTCTAGACAGTCCACAAGTGGGATGGTCATCTCCAACTTGCCTTTGTGTTTGGTCCTAACTCCGTATGGCCTATCCGGGTGCATGTGGATTCCAGGTGGCAGTCGACGTCTGTTTGCACGAAATGCTTCCAGAGTTGCAACCGCCATATGGGAAGATGGGAAGGTTATCTTCATTAGACGGGGTCTAGGATCACCATCCTTCTTGGTTAGTCTCGTCACATGCTGAGTCAGTATGTGTTTGAGCCTCAAGGACTGTTTGATGAATTTCCATTACCGGATGTCAGCTTTTGATTGAGTAGGGTCCGTATTTTCCGGTATACCTAGCACGATTATATTCCTCCCGCGGAAAAACTGATCGCGAGATTGTTTGGGGATATTCCGGATGAGATTGCGCTCAGAATACGGTATGTCAGGCAGTATTCTTACATTCTCATCTGATTTCAGTAAATGACTCGCTAGTAAGACGTCCTCTACGTCGGTAGCATTTTTAAGTGTTACACGAAGTAACCTCGGGTGATTTTGATGCTTAGATTCCTTTCCCCGAGTGAGCCGTGTGACTGTCAAAGGCTCTATTCTTGGAAGTTCAAGTTTCTTGTTCAATTCTACCCAGAGCATCCTATCATTTTTGTCCTGCAACCTCAGAGAAAGGTCAGGGTTGTCCTTGAAGTTCATGACTATGAGAGAGTCATCACGAACCGTTATTGTCGTCCCAGTGATACACGTAGTGTAGCTAACCGAATGATAAAGCCTGATCGCTGCTTAATGTTTATCAGGTCTAGGTGTCGTAGTTCAAATCATACCCTGGATGACTTCATTTAGAGGTATATGTATGTGGAGTAAGACTAACATTCGTCTTATCGTCAGAAATACTTTTAATAGATGGGGCTCATAACCTAGAATAGACGCAAAGGTATTAATATTATATTTCCTCTAGAGCGGGTACGCGCCATTTTTACAGGTATGATTTACAAATTACAACATTAGTTTGCTTACAGTATGCTCCGAAGTAGGGTCGTTAAATAGACTAAACCAATGAAGGTAAATAATAATAATAATATATTTCTGCATGTGCAGGTACACACCGTTTTTACAGACATGATCTATAAATTACAACATTTTTTGGTTCGCAAAATGCTTCCCAACTTATTAAGTTTATAGTTGTTATAAAGTGAAATCGTAGAGCGCTTGCTGTAAACTATGACCTTGAGAGGACGCGTACGTCAGGTTTTCTCCAAACGTCAGAAGTTTCATAGCTGTGCTCTCAGAGCAAGATTCTGAAAAAGGAAAAAAGAGAAACAGAAGAGCAGCAAGGCACTTGGATATCAACGCCAAAGGCTGCTTAACATTGTGTAGTAGTACGGACAGAGGTAGAATAAATCAGAATAAATTCATATTTTGTATTGTTAGAGTGAAGTGAAGTCCGAGGCTTCATATTAGAGAATGTACTAATAAAGAACAATGAGTTGTGATATTTAACAAGTTGGAGTAAGCTCACATGAAGGAAAGGAAGTCAAGGTTGGTACAAGGGAAGCGGTTTATTAGAAGGGTGTGTATATAGAGGGTGTAGTGTTAAGAATACTAGTGACTATATCTTTTA